ATCATTGTTCATCGTTACGGTCAAATATTATCGTTATTGTCAATCATCTTGAATTAATATTGTGTGAAGACATTGTATGCCGATTACTATTATCATCAAATTATCATTGAGAACTGAATAATAAATATTATATCAAGTTCCACTGCGCATTCCACCGCACGCTGACCAAATTCATTTTTACTCTACATCACAACCAAACGTTCATCGTTCCACCGCGATTCAAAGCGCACTTTGTGAGGTACTGTTTGGGATGCTATGGTTGCGTCATTTAAGTTGTTGCTATATGCTGCAGCTGGCCGATATTTATGCAGCGACCTCTCAACAGGGTTTACAAGGAGAAGATGTGATTAGAGGTAGCGTCATGTGCAAGTATTTTCACAAGTATTTTCATGTGGAAGTATCTTCATACACTTAACCCCGTTTCCGAAAGAACTGGAAACGGGGTTAAGGGTATGTGTTCGATATGGGGAAAGGACTTCGTAATGAAACAATCGTCAACAAAACGGTTCCTCGACCACTAAAGTTAGAATTGATTTCATCAGTGGACTCGTAGAAATGAGTACGAGGGAGGACATCAGGCAATGAATGCTACCGAAAAGACTTGTCTTATTACGGTGAACAATAAAATTTGCATCCAGCTGACCCTCAGATCACCTTCCATATTCCTGACATTCACAGACCAATGATTGAGTGAGCTTCCACGAGAACCAACTTGCGATCTTAATCGAACTTAGGAACATTTCGAGAGCTGTACAGTGACACACAATATGCCCGCATAAATGAGTGTAGTAGAAAATTGGAGGAGTAGAGCGTAATTCTTTTCTGTTTCTGTCAAAGAAGTATTGTTGTTGCTCTTTCTTTTCTGATGTGCTTGGATAAAATACTGTTGACGAAGCTGCGTCATGGCTTCGCAGTTAATGTTGTTCTTTCCTTATTTCAATGCTTTCCCATCAAAAAAANAAAAAAATCCTGTTTTCAAGGTCCTGCTGATTCCATTTCAAAATGTCCATTTTTGGGAGTCGGTGAAATGCACCAAACTGAGTTTTTCCCGCAGAATTCCCCGTCCCCGGCTTTTTTGAGCTGACCGCACTTTCAGGGTCATCGACTGCAAAATCTTCTCCCCGACTTTCTCCACCCTCAACCTTTTTTCCGTTCCGGTAACACACTACAGTACACTCCCTGACACAAGGAATAAGTATAAAACGATACGTCCACCCGGCTGAAATTGTTCAACAATGCTCGCATCCCAGGAGTGTGTTCAATTGCCAAAAATTGTCGAGCTGCAACACATTGTGGCACTGTGCCATTGGAACAGTGCGAAATTCAATTTTAATCGTAAGATTCGTATTTGTATTTCGTTGATTCGACGTAAATTTTGTGCAGTTTCGACGAAAATGATTCAGCAGGCAATAATCGCTCGGTGTTATGAATTTTACGCACGAATTATCGCATTCTCGTTGGCGAGTGCTCTTTGGTTGTAATTTAATCAGAGACTCGATGCTTGTGTGCAGTGTTGTATCGTAGACGTTTTTTGTCTTATAGTTCTTTGCATCTGCAGTAAAATATACAACGAGCTTATATATTATAAGTAATCAATGACTGGTGATGCTTTATTGTGTACAGCTCGATGTGAATAGGAGAAGGACTTTAATGTTGTCATTCATATTTGCTATTGATGCTATTAGGTAACAGTAAAAACTTTCAGTTGTTATTAAGTTTAGCGTTCATTGTTGACTAGTTGTCATATTGTCAATATATTGAATTGTAAAAACTATTCTCGATAAAGGTACGTATGGTAAAAATGTGACTGTCGATAATTAGCATTTGATCGGCATCTGTAATTACGAGTATTCGTAGCAGTAGGGCTTATTCTGCAAGTTACTTTTATAAGAGTGATTCGTTCGCGTTTTGCTGATGCAGTGTTTGTTTAAAGAGTCGTGAAATTGGTAGCGTTTAGTAGATGTTATTTTATGATTGATTCTTTCCTCAATTTTGTAGCTCTGTGGATGGCAGATATATGCCATTTCTAGAGAACGTTCAAGATCCTGAGCTCATCCATCATTTGAAGAAGAAAATCCGCTTGTTGCAATTCCGTGGAGATTTCAGTCGGAGGATACGATGTAAGTTGAAGTCGTACCTTATGATGCTAACATAAAATCATTTCACTTGTTGCCATTTATTTCGCATTATGGCGCAATAAATATTCTCACATTCTTTGAAATCACATTGATTCCAGATAGTATGCTCAACCGGTATACTTTAGTCAGCATCCTAGCACCATATTTGCATTCGCGAATTTTTCTTCATAAACTTCAGTTTGAAAATTTCCCAAATGTAATAGGTATATGTGAGTTGTCATCAGCCTCGAGTATTAGACAAGGGATATTCACCTTTTGGATATTATATTATCATAGTTAGTTGGGGTTCGCTGTTTCGTCATATTAATTTTCATATTTAGCGTAATCGGTGTTATTCGTACCAAAACTAATCATTTTGAAGTGTTGCACCGTGAACTATCTAGAGCGTTTGGTCGCGAAAGTGCTCAAGCAATAATGGATGGACTTAAGAATACTCAGCCGTCTACATCTCTATCCTTTATGAATAATACGACATTAACTTCATATAAGAACAAGCTAAGACCATTGGCTGGCAAGAAAATTATATTAGATTTGGAAAGTGGAGCACATCGCGGAATATTACAGGTAATATTCGGATATTTCGATTATCTTATTCAGTTTTCATTCTTTACATAAATTCACATTATGCATTTTGAAAGAATACGCGATCGTATACTAAAAATAAATTTAAGTTTGTACGTGTAGTTGCAGCTGAGCGCCGAACTGTTTGTTAACTCCAAACAGTTCAGTTCGATCTGAAATGCGTTTGCTGAAGTATGATTCTAATTCGATTAATCGTCACAAGTTTCTTAGGGCTGACGATGAGTTTACAGAAAGACATCGAGCGATTGGGTGGTTCAGTTGTGGATGCATACGATGAAGAGCAGGGCAGACCACTTTGTATCGTATCCGATTATCCTCATGTTGAACTACTCGAAAAATCAAATCGTTCTAAACTTTCATCAAAGGTTAGTGTGACTGATTTGTTCTAAAGAGCTGTTTTTTTGTTCATGTCTTCAACTATATACTGATAGAAGTGAATAAAAATTTGTTGTTTACGTCCACTGTTGATTTTGATCCAAATATTAATATGAATACTGCTTTCAGTTTATATCGAGTTTGCCGTTGATGTTACGTTGTGCAGTTCAAAATGGTGTTCGTATACGTTCATATCTGTCCTTTAAAGCTACCATCGATCAATTAAAAAAGAAAGTTCGCATAGATAAAAAAGTTGATCATGCACCGGTCAAAGCACCACAGGTGAGCAGATTGAAATTGTTTCATTTTCATTTGATTCAATTCATAGTCATTTCATTTATGTAGATACTTCCAAAGTAGCATTATTCTTTTCAGTGAATTATGTGCTTTCAGTGCATCATTCTTTCTTTTTAGGTTTCTGTGCGACAGCTGCTGCCTCCGTTCACGAAACTAGAGGATGCTGATGGACTTTATGCACCATCATTTAAAGAATTCATCCGACCCAACAACTTTATACCAATTTATTTGGGTAAATCATCAGGGAAGTCAATTTTTCATAAAATAACACGTGAAGCTGAAGAACGAAGGTTCGTTACTTTCATTTGATTCCATTGTTTTTAGCTTTTTCTATCGTCTTATTGTTACCAATGTGGCTAATTTGAAATGAAGATGCGTGAAATTGGCTGATTTGAAATGAAAATGAGAGGGAAGGAGGAGAGGAAAGTTGTTCTGCAGTGTTGCGATTATTGCAGAAAAAAAGAAGAGAAAGAAACAAAGGTTCGCCGACCGCCACGACCGAAAACGCAGACTTGTAGTGGTTTTTGTGAGATTTGCGGTGTGACTTGTGAAAACCTCCTTTTGGTTGGTTTATTTTGCCTTCATTGTTGATAGATAGCACTTCATTTTCATTTTCAACGGATTGCAGTTGACAACTTGTGTGTGCTTTCATATTGAATTGGATAAACAAAAATTCCATTAAAACGAGATAAATCTCAGAATGTAACGGTAGAATTGATTGGATAAAAGAATGCTTACAGCATTATACAAGCCGTGAACATCAGCAACGAATCAGTCAGCCAGGATTTTATTGTGAAGTGGATGCTTTATGTGGTTCATATACTGAGAATATTGTCGTTCCAAATATACCTCTACAAAAGAGACGTGAAAAGAGTCCGGTTAATATGACCAAACAATTCGACCCATACAATGATACCGATTCGGGTGACTTATTGCGTCAAGCGGATGGATGAAAGTATTTCTAATTTAAGTGGTGTTTGAAATCCATTTTTGTCGCAATCGTTATTGTTCATTATCTTTGTTGTTATTTTTATTATTATTAATATTATTATTGTTGCCGTTGTTCTCTGACGTCGTTAATGTTATTGTATTTTAATTTCATTTTCTTAGGTTTCCAAAGTGTTTGTTTCTGTGAGCACTGCGTTGCATAAACGTCGGTATTCTGAATGTGATACTTGTCGTCACAGCTGTTGTGTTCTCTTATAAATTTTATTTTGGGGGCAAAAAAAGTTTGATGTGCAACAACAAATTTCCCAGTGGAATCGAAAACAAACAGAAGCTTTCATTGGTATTTCGGGGTGGCATTTTAAATGATTCTTTGAGCATTCATAGGATTTTATTGATACGCATAGGTTTTGACTGCACAAAATTGGTTGCATGCGTCAACGTTCATCCGCTTGTTTCATTCAGAATCATTGAACTTCTCAATTCACTATCGATTAATCGATGGTTTATCGCCGAATGTTCATCGCATTCTCTACATCATTATATCAGCTTATCACCTGAAATTCTAAATGATTCGATGCACAGTTTTTTGTGCAATCTTATGCAGTTTCTAGATTCTTTGTAGTTCACTGAAGCAGATAATGCAATTTTAACAAAGTATATTGTATATGCAAGTGAATATTTCATTTATTTCAAAACTTATCTGTACAATTCGTTCTGCTCGCTGCA